GTGACAGTGACAGTGACAGTGACAGTGACAGTGACAGTGACAGTGACAGTGACAGTGACAGTGACAGACAGACTCCCTGACCAGCAAAGAAGCCATGAATATCTTGGGTCGATCCATTTGACTGCAACAGTGAATGAGTCGGTGAGCGATATCAAAGATGATCATCAAAGTCTCTATTACACAACGCTGGTTTCCCACTCCAGGAACATCAGTCTAACAACGGAGGGAACTGGCGCTGGAATTCAAAGGTACTTTGGTCAACTGCCTGTTGCAAGCGGACCGGGGCGTTGTTTCTTGACGCGACACCAAGGCCGATTCGGCATCGCTAGAAATTACCATGACAGCTGTGCTAACAATAGACAGGTGAAGTAATGGCCTCTGGGGCCATTCTATCTGCGGATTGTGTCAGCGTGCTACCATCGTCGCCCCTCCAAGCATGCCAAGGCACTGGTTCTCTGACCACATGGCGGTGCCAGGAGGCACTTCGCACTTCAACGTCACAAGCTCCTGGCTTTTAGAAAGAGTCATCCTGGGGGTGCAATTCTTTTAGAGACTGGACTCCGACTGGAATCTATGAAAACCACCAGCCCAATCTTCTGAAGTGCATCGGTCTTCAAAGTACTCCAAATCATACAGAAAGCCTTCCTTCGTAGAACGGCCTCCTCGGCAAAAAAAACGATATGTTCGCCAACAAAATCCTTGCCCACATCCCTGAGATGTCATATGTTCAATTGCTTCACCATCCCAGGAGTCCTCCAACTTCATCGTCGGAAATCGCTGGCACCTCGATCTGAGCCACACACCTCCCGTCTCTCGGAAAGCTCTGCAAGATCTGACACCTCGCTCCTGGGCTGAGGATGGTGACCAACCAGCTTTGCGCTATCTTCTGCCCCCACGTATTTCAAATCGATTGAAGTTGCCAAGGATCCATTCACCAAGACTTCACTGATTGAGCCCGCCAAATTCTCCACCTCCACCTCCACTTCGCCTCCGGAGCACGGCACTCTGGGAGGATCCAATCTTAGCCGTCCTCCTTCGCCACGCCTGGCTCAGGTCTCCCGGTGACATGCTCAGGTGAGAGCTTGCAGCTGGGCATAGTAAGGGCGGGCGATTCACTGTAAGTTAGGGAGTATCTAATTGTCTAATCGTGATGGCTCATGAGATTGACCCATCTATGAGTGTAGCTGCAGCCAGTGTCGTGACAAGAGTCATTGCCAGTGAAGGCAGTCTTGCTGATGCGTCGACTCCCTACAAATGGATCAAACCCAAGATATAGGCGAGGCGCCGTAATCATTACTGAGTTTCCCTGTTCCTTGCACAACCTAAAGGCGCAGGATTGCAGATTATTTTTGTTGACTTGCCACTTCGAGGACATTTACAGTAAAAGATTACAGTATGCAAATCATCCGTGCCCACAAATCCGGCTCAACATTCACCAATGTGGACTCCCACACCACATACATGTCTGCCTTGAGCTCTGCGAAGTCCTTTGAACTCAATGTGTCACCACGCCTGGGACTCTCCTCCGTCGACGCTGCCACGTCGGCCGCTGGTGCAGCCGCCAAGGCGGCCACGGAGCCGCTAGCTGGTGACTCAAGACGGAGGGCATCGGCAGGGCAAAGGTTCTCGATTCGCACAGACTTCTGCTCACCATCCTGTAGCTCCACCAGCAGCCTGGCTCCACCTGCAGAGGGGCTTGACGGCAAGCAAACCGGCCGTCAGTTTGGAGCCTGCAAAACTTTTCAGACGTGATATTGAGGGGAGAACAACTCCGAGGATCAAGGTGCTGGTGCCTTCTTCTTCGTCCACGACGGTTGCCAGCTGGCCGTTAAGCTCGATAGACTTCTGCAAGCCAACGATCTGAGCTTGGCAGCCCACGTGGAGATCAGCCTGGAGCAAGCGCCAACCCAGTTCGGCGGTGATGGCAGAAGAAGCTGCCAATGAAATATGGATAGTTTCTTCTCATTCTTCTCCAAAACATTGCTTGCGGGCAACCAAACGAGAAGTCTCTCAATGGGGTTTGAACATGCAGTGTTCGGGGAGAGCTGCGTGGGACAGGTGAAAGTGGCTTAGTATTTGAAGAGCAAACACTTTCGATCAAGCATGCCAAATGAGGAAGGTGACGGGGTATTCCACATGAGATTAAAAACAAAGAACGTGACAATTATAGCCGCCAGGTGGGAGGAGTATCAAACCTATATAACAGGACCTAACATGTTGTTTGGTAAAAGTCTGCACCACTGTACCCTTCCAAGGAGTTTGTTTCTTAGGGTCGCACTTTCTTGCGGTGGAAGACTCTCTTTGGGGGCTCATACGAGCCTTGAAAAGCATTGAAATGCGATATGTTTATGTATATATATATATGTATGTATAGATATATATGTTTATACTATATGCATGGTACATGTGTATATATATATATTCTGTCCAATCAACTTGGAAGGGCCCCCTGGCCCCAGAGGCCTTGATCAGTTCCAAGGTCTTTTTACTTTCTTTCCCCATCCTGAGCCGCAAGAGGAAGGATACACATGTTTCAAACGGTAGAGACGTAGAAACCGAGAGCGTGAGCCAGAGGAAATCGTATTCCCGTCTCCGGCTTGTTCCATCTCCATCTCCGTAACTCATATGTCATAAGCACTGGAACCGGTGTGGGCCAGCCTACTGCGCTAGTTTCCCAGCAAGCGCTTGAGGCCATGTTTTTGGTTCACCGCCTAGGGCCTAGAAACATGAGCGGCTCAAAGTACTATACAGCTTGCTCAGCAAAGGATATCAGGGGAAATAGTCGTTTCTTGGCATTTTGAGACGTATATACATCTTTCTTTTGCCACAAAAAGGAGCTGGCCAGTTGTTTGCTTGACCATGTTCATTCTTCAAAAGAACCATACAGCTCAGCCAAGTTGAAACGCTCCTTCAGGATATCCTCCTCCGTATGAAAACTGGTCAGACCAAGCTTGGCAGATTGATGCGGTCTTGATTGATGCGGTCTTCTCCCAAGCCTGTTGTCAGCGCCTGCCTCGATCTAAACACCCTCAGGTACAAGCGTCTGAGTCAAAAAGCTTAGATACTTTCGAAACAAGGCCAGGAACATCTGCCTCACAGCAACGCATGAGCAACATCTCCATGTCTCTGTGGTTGGAGCTGAATAGTAATCATCACTGGTCATGTTTGCTTTAATTGCTAATGCTTCAACGCAAAAAGACCTTGCATCTTCAAATTGAGGACAATCGTGGTAAATACAGGGCCTAGTTGTCATGACACCGCTGACAATTGCGTGGAATTCAAAGTGGTCCTCCCAAAAGTGGGTCTTTGTACCACATCCATGCTTCTTGGAGCAAAAGCATATTCTGAAAGAGTCTGTTTGGAGTGCGGACCAACCCAAGCCTAGCTCAGTAACAAACACCCCCAGCGGAGTTGCTTAGCAGGATCCTGGGTTCCCAAACTCACAGGCCCCACGTCAGCCTAAAGTGCACTGGACGCCGATACATGAAGACTCGAAGAGCGGCAGCCAGCTTCCTCTCCTGCCAAGTCCCATCCAAAACGAAGGCTTCAACACTCTTCCAATGCATTGAAAGACTATATAGCATGTCGTTTGACTTTGGAGAGGGTAATCCCTTGGCCACAAGCAATTCCAGGACAGCAGTTTCAGGCTCGGGAGAATCTGTAAACCTTTCCGGATGCCATAAGGGAGGCTACTACTGAAAGAAGGCCGGACGCTCTCCACGCTTCTGCTCAGAAAACGTTTGTTTTAAAGGTGACTCTGCCTGCAGAGCCATCCTTTCAGGCTAGAAAGGTCTATAAAGTCATGTGGACTATAGGCAAGAAACCAACAGACAGTTTAGTGGCACTCAATGTCCAAGTCCAGCGCGGACTTTGTTGTGACATGTTGGAACATGAAATTCTCCGCTGCCCGCGCCTGAGATTCCAAAACCCGGTTGGCTTTGTTCAACTTGTCCGTGTTCCGAGCAATCTGTTCAGTCATCACTCCTGGAGTGAAAGACCCAATGAACCGAACACAGAATGTCCGATGATGAGTCAATTTACTGTTCCAACTTGCGATTGGACTGATAGCCAGATGTAGCCAAAGAGTCTTGAGCCGCAGCCACCCCTGATACTTCCAGCCAGGTTCCCGCACAGATCTCGAAGTACTGAGTTACTAGGAGTCTATCAAGCCAGCCCGGCGCCACACTTTTGGTGAGCTTTCACCCTTAAAGGGCTCTTCAGGAAGGAACTTGTGCCATCAAACTGCCGCCATTGCGGTGCAAACATGCGACTGGACATCACATGAAGCGCCCATTCACACTGTCAAGCAAAATGCTTTTGTCGGTAACAAGCAAAAGCAATCTCAACTGCCCCTGCCACCACCGACCACCGCCAGAGACAGGTAGAAGAAGGAGAGGAAGAACAAAAGCTACAGCTACAGCCAACGGTAACAACTGCAACAACTTATATTAACCTCATGCGCAGATTCTGGCAGAGCGCGCCTCGACTGGCCGCCTGCAAAGATTCCAACTTTTCCTCGTAATGCTGGCGCTCTGTGACGGCGGCATCACGATCTTGGCCTCAGCAGCTCTGCTCCGCGCTACCGCGAAGGGATTGAAAGAGGACAAGGCAATCACCATCACCAAGAAATGTGGACACTCTGGAAAGTAAGTGGACACGATTACCCATTGAATGTCAAAAGTGTTCTAATGAGTTGGATAAATTGCGCTGTGGTACGAGGCAGTTCACTTCCTCCCAAAGGCTTGAGATAATCATGCGAGTTCGTCGAATGTTTGTTCCCATTCATGCATTATGATGTTCGCGACTGTCAAGCCTACGTGTCTTTCCCTACCAAAACCCAAAGTTGTCACAGGTTTTAATTCTGCCTCATGCCATGATTGGCCTTCTCAAAACCAAGCCCTGCGACCCTTTGCGACCACGATCCGTGCGACCCTGTCACGGAGGTGTAGCAGATTGTCGCACTCCTGAAGCACCTCGTCGCACGCGGATTGCCTCGGACGCAGTTAGTCAAACGGCCTCTGGTCCAGAATTCCTAGGGTGGCCTCCCAGCTTACCCAAACCGCGTTTAAGTGCGAAACCTGTGAAAGAAGAAGTATCGTTTTTTGTTGGTTCCTTGACTCCAAAATCAGGTGCTGGGGGTGAAGTTTACAGTAATATCATACCTTCTCAGATTCAGACTAAGTATTCATCACTTTTCATCAAGTAACTACTCCAGTGGCAAGGTTGCAAGCCATACAATATCATACAACACAAGTATCCCCCCCAAGTCATGAGAAAAAATGCGTTCCATCATCTCATGGTCGACCGTTATAAGCGGCGGGAATTGCCAAGCTCACTTGGGCCTGTGATTGTCATGAAAACAACAATCATGAAGCCTGTCGCCATATTTTAGTCGGGCTTTGTGACAAAGTCGATTGTCTCGATATCATGGCACCTCCCATGTCTATCCCTGTTCTCAACCCCGAGTATTCACAATGTTGGTGGTCCCTCTTGTGGCCGTTGGCAACAATTGCGGACCCCTCGCTCAACTGGAGGTTGATGCCCAGAAAACACACTTGACAAACCGTCAAATTGTGTCTTTCAAACTTCACAAGGAAATTTGTTCAGTAAGCATACTCAAACGGCCATGTTGCCATCCCCTGCGACACTCCCATTCTCAAGAAGTCACCGGATCAAATACATCACCATAATCACATACAAGAGCGACGCCCTCCGACCTAAGAGCGATGGCCTCACCATCATCACATATATGATGTTAGGTACCAATCATCCACGTCGGGGGAAACCTGCAGGCGGCTCCCCGCCAGATCCATCCCCTTCTTGCGAGTGGCATCTCGGCAAGGCCTGCACGGCAATGTCTGATTGACAGTGGGAGCCCCAAAGCAAGAGCTGTCCACACAGCCGCTATGATTGATTAGAATATATAGATCACAGGATAATTTCAAGCTACTTGTCGTTCAAGTGTTCAATCCGAGCCCTAAACCAGCAGTCTTGAGACAAACGACGCCCATTGAAATCCCACGCTGAAGGCTAGTTCCTATCGCTCCAAGACATCCATCCAAGGCAATAATGTCGTTGGTCAGTTTGACCCCTGGTAAAACCTAGTAAGACGTCCGATCGCAAACGGAAACGTGACAAGGCTTCCCCAAGCAGAAGCAACTTTAGAGGGCTGTTGGACCGAAGACTTCACCATTCAATGCGGCACGCATCAACGCCCTGCTGTTAGCCTGCTTCTTTCAAGATGCTCTCGTATTTCTCGACTGCACTGGCACATTCTTGCACCAAGGCCATCGCAGCAACATCCACTCCACTGACGTCCAAGCCTGGTCAAATTCCATAGAAGCGAGGCACACCATGCCTTTAAGCCATTTTAAGCCTAAACATGATCCTCATTCATCAGTTTAAGCGGGAGAATCTGCTTCGTGAGTGTTGCTCTTCGATTATGTCGCAATTGACTCAGGGTAGAGGGCAACGGTAAAGTGGACACGTTCGAGGATACGGACAATAGAGTATATATCACTAAAAGCCAGTGCAGGCGTCTCTCCATGTTGATACACAACCGTCTGCCTCACTTTATTTTGGTTGTCAATCAACATTCACACCGAGTTGGGTTTCCATCTGGTGCAATTTGCATTATGGAGATGTCGGGGACATATGTGTATATATATAATTGTTTTTTTATCTTGGGGACAAAGAAACTGGAGATTATGATTCCAACCTTGTGCACTGCAAAACAAATTTATATATATATATGTGTGGACACAAACATTTAATGATCGCTCTTGAAAAACCCGTCAAAAACTAACTTGTTGAAATGGGCTCTTCTTTCACATATGTCTTTCTCAACACGTTAGCGGTTTGCGCTTGGCTTTCGCCCGATGCTCTGTGCAAAACTACCTTCGCAAGCGTTCGCAGACAGGGCTGTTTCACATTTACTTACATACGAGCCATTCCAAGCATGAACATCTGCTGGTATCCAAAAATCGCTTTCACGGTGATTCACAAGCTTTCGCGCACGGAACATTCACAAAATCTTCTGCAAATTGTTCGGGAAAGTGTGGTTACCATTCATGAATGTATCTTACATTCTTCAAATTGTTGCATGGGAGGTTATTGGTCGCTGGTCAAATATGTTCTGGCGTATGCCCTGAACCAGCCAGACCTTCAGAAAACTTGCAAGTGAGCAGCCCAAATATTCTTGAAGTCCATGCATCAACTGACGCTGGGCCATTGCCACCTGCCCTAAATGCTCCGTCATCTTGCCTGCCGAAACAATGCCACCAACCGCGTGAAACATCTCAACACTAACACTCTTCGACTTTGGAGACAGTTGATTCTTGTGTCTTTTGTATCTTCTGATTGAAAGTCATTGACACCCGGTCTGGATGTGCTCTTGATCCACAAAATGAAGTCACATCTCAAGCTCCAGCCATCCGGCCAACCCGCCTGCCACGTCCCGCAGAAGCGACGCCAGCTGCCGCTGCGGTGGCACCGTCTCTGCTGCTTCGAAATCGCTCAGCTCCACGGGGTTCCGCAAAGTCCGTGAGCGCCTGCAGCGACCGGAGGGCAGGCAAGGTCCACCCAAGAACAAATACCACAAGTACTACAGTACTACAAGTATCTAAAGGTTGGGTTTGGGAAGGTTGGTGTCCATTGTGCACTCCTTATGATTCTAAACTACCACATCTTCATAACCTCTGTCAAGGTGCGCTGGATGATTTGGAACAGCAAAGCCATGGGAAAGTGTATGATGAAAGGAGTCCCCCAGGCTGAAACTAGGGGACCTGGTGGAATCCAGAAAATATGGGTTTAACATTGTTATATAAACATTATTCATCATGGCAAACCTGACCAGTTGAGGAGGCCCTCCTTCTGGATATTTGTTGAGGTCGAGGTCGAGACTCCAGACCAGTGGTTTACCCCCAAACTTCTTCGGTTGGGAGTGTCGCCTGCGCTGGGGGTCCAGCAGCTCCTTGAAGATGGACATGGCGAAAAAAAGTCCACAGGAGGCGTGGCACGTGACGCGTGATGATGGCGATGTGTCGCTGTTGGCTGGGTGTTTCCTTTGTCGGAGAAAGAGGAATATCTTTTTGGAAGCTGCAAGTTGATCTAGCAACTGAGGAAAAGAAAATATTGTCGGAGCGCAATGGAACAAACCTTTTGGAAGCCATGGTGTGTGCGAGTAACTTGTTTCACTTCTTGGTCGTGTGAGCCAATGCTGTGTTGATACAGTTGGTGAACAATCATTCTCCTGTGCCACCTGCCACAACCCCTTTCATGCAAGGTTCGCTACTAGGAGCAAAGGGCATCGCTACTAGGAGCAAGGACGCTACTAGTAGCTCCTGGCCTTACTACTAGTAACAAGGTTTGCTATTTGTTACGAGAATTCAATTAAAATTAATCGTCTCGTCTTTTCATGTATTGAATCAAGTGTGAATGCCAATAATAGAACAATGGACGTTCATGGATCGAAAGTGTGCAGGATATCCTGGTGACTTCCAAGCATCATCTTAAAGAGTCTGGAATATTATGGCATGCCTCACTAATTAAGTGATTTGTCGGTTTCCAAGCGATGCTTTACATCACAAGCATCCTCCAGCGTCATGCTGAAACCCGTAGTATGAAGTAAAGGTCCGGAATCCAAATGCGCATCTCAATGGCTTCCGAACTGCAGCCAAAGCGAAGGTTCTTCTTCAATAGCTCTCGTGGGTTCCACAACAATATTTACCTTCTCGGCTTGACAAAAGACACTGTGGTTTGTGCCGTGATGGCAGGGTCATCTCTTTTTCGTGGACTTAGGTGTATACTCGAAAGTGCCAGAGTCCTCAGCTCAACTATCATGATGTCAGGATGGTTTTCATCACTAACATGTTAGACCTGGCAAGAAAAGCATCGTCAATTTTTGGTCGCTCTGCGGGCAAGTCACTGTCAGTCCAGCATGCTGACAGCTCGTGCAAAGGTTGTGACAGAACAGCTTGAAGCTAAGACACTATTGGACACATCATCTCACTAAATGTTGCTGTTTTGCTTTGTTTTGCCCACTCAGTACAACCTATGCACCTTCGGTGCAAAACGTTGGGGGTGAAAAGAATTACAGGTGAGGATTCCCTTGCAGCCACTTGCTCCTCTTTGCCGCCAGGTGCCGCCAGGTGCAGTAGAAACCTTACATTGGCCGGTCAACCTGTGCAGAGAATTGTTAGTAAAACCCCAATTGACCGACTTTCTCTGTCCTCTTCAACTGGTAGGGGTTTACTTGCGCGTCTCAAAACATTTGCAAGGCCGAGGAGCAGAGGCATTGACTTTGAGAACCAAGCCCTTCTATCTTGCTGGGGCAACTCACACCCTATGTGGTTGACATTCACAGTGAAGTCCGTTATTTTATCTGTTTTCTCTTCTCTGGAAACCTCATCTTTCGGCGGCACTTGCACACAGCGCTGCAGCGCTGGTTGCGCAAACACAGCGTGGCTTATGCAGGTGAGGCTCAGTCCGAGTTTTGAACCTGCGAGGGATTGGTAGGGCAGCACATGAGCAGGTCGGTGAACCGAGCAGAACCCAGGTGGATCGCTGGCACCCCAACAAAGAGGCTTATTTGGAAGGTAAGATTTCTTGGGACCTGCGAATCAACCAAATCAACTGCTGTGTACTAGCTGTGCACAGGGAGGCATTTGTTTGGCAAAAAATATGTTTTTGAGCTGGCAGTTGTATACAATGAGACAATGACCCTTTTGAAATTTTGTTCTCACGCATTCAGTCTGAGTTTGTTCTTTGGGGTTCATTGTGCACTATCGTTGGATTGTTCATTGTTCCATTCGCTTTCTACGAAGCTCTGGACTCTAGAGTCTCCTGGCTGTTGGAAGCCGGGATCTGGGATTCCACGGTCAACAAATCTTGCCATAGATTTGTAATTAGATTGCTTAGTTGCGACCAAGTGCGAAGAACAAGGCAAAGGCTTGGTGCGAACTACAATTTGATGAGGTGCCATTACACATGGGGACATGTCCTTTCAGCCTCAAACTACTGAACCACAAGTCGACTCCGATCCAAAAAGCTTCCTCCTCAGCTCCACTCACCTGTCTGACTCGTTCTTCCAGGGGGAGTGAGTCAGTTCATGCTTCGAATCCTTCTGAGAGCCCCTGCTGTGAGCCAACCACTGGTATCTTGCAGATTCGATCCTGCAATGCAAGGCTCCCAATGTTCTCGGGTCGTGATGCCCATCAGGCAACAGGTGATGTGAAGGGGGTCCAGATCACTAGGTCGATGCGTGGACTGCATGGACAGACGCTGCAAACCATGAGTAACCAATGGGCCGGGTTTCCTATTGATCTTTTGATCTTAACAAACAAGAATCTACAGGAAGAGTATAGTATAGATTGAAGGATTTTATTGCGGAGAATACACTGGATTTACATGGATCTATAGACTTCTTTGTGGTGAGTCAAGGCCAAACTCAGAAACCTGTTTTTTTGTTTGTTCTGTGACCTGGAGTAAGCGCTCGCACCACTAGGAACCTGGTACTGGGCACTCTTTACTGAAATGCAAGTGCCCCTTCTTGACAAGACAACACCACATCATTTTCCCACAGCATTCTGGCACATCCAGCCAAGGCACACTGCAGATCGTACCACTAAGTATGTTTGAGCTGATATACTGTAAACCTGCAGATGGGGTCGTCAGGCTAGCGGCTAGAGCAAGACTCAGTGCCCTTCCACATTAAAAATAGAGATTCCGTGGCAAATCGCTTGAAACTGTTTGAAACCACGCCTTGAACCTCCACAGAAAAAAGACCGGCCTCCTCAGCCAGTTGGGTTGAAGTCCTGTCGGCATCGGTCAAATGTTGCTGCCAAAATGAGCATTATATGTTTAGGGAGATAGTCACGTAGACATGAGATTATCCATTGCACCCTGGCACCTCAGTTTAATGGCCTTCCCAATAAAGTTGACTTTCCTTCCAAAAGGTTGATCTGCTAGCCCCAATGGATCAGCTCGTGTCATATACCCTTCTGGATAGTGGCTGAGTTGCTGGCTCTTTCCTTATGTTGGAACGCTCAGTTCCAGCCTCTGATATCTCAAAAGTCCCGCAAGTGCACGCAGCCATACAATGAGAGAACAATACTGTCTGTTTCCTACCTGCATGGCTGGCTATATTCGCAAAGCCAAATCAAGTAGGGGCGATTTGGCTTCAAGCCATAGGGCCATAGGGCACTTGATTGGTATGACTGCAATCCATGGGGCAACCCTAGAGAAGATTGAACCACGAAATATGTGTACACGATCAAACCAGGCATTGTGCAGCTTGCGGGGTTCATTGGGCTATCGCTTTGCTCACCAATGTATCTGAGGAATATTCGACTACATCACCCGGTGATAGGCATGCGAAAGCTGACAGCCCCGACGAAGGAAACATCAGCCGAGGCTAAAAGTGCCCCAGGAGTTGTCAGATCTTGTGAGCCCAATGCTCCAGATCCGTTTGTTGGATGCAATAACGATTGGGCGGGGACTAAGAAGAGATGGCACAAAACCAGAATATTGAAACTGTGTATGCGTACATTGTATGTTGTATATATATATATGGGTGTTGATCTAAATTCCTTTATCCGGGATCCGGCATCTAAGCCAAAAAATACTTTAGCCAAGCTTTCGCCTTCCTGCGTTTTATCTTTCGCCGAGGCCGAAGTATGTTGTATTTATGTGTGCCATGTATGTTGTATGATGGATATCAACTTTGTTCACGTCAATGTCAATGGCTTCTTCTTTACTGGCAAATACAAAATAAACACGGCACTGTTTGTCAGCATGTGTCTTCTACTTAACTGCTGACACCCTGTACGTCTCTTCTGTTTTTCTTGGGTGTCAGCAAGAGTCAAAATTGCAAGAATCACTGTAGTAGCCGGTCACTCAGACTTACTCATAATGGGTTGGGGCTCAGATGTGGCAGGGTGAACTTTCGCCAATCTTGAGCTGAACTTTCGCCAAACTTTCGCCTTTTGCGGGGTAGAGTTTTGTGGCACAGCCACCCCCCCAAAGCAGGAGCAGGAATAGTAGTAGTAGTCGTCGTCGTCATCGCCGTGGTAGTAGTAGCAGTAGTAGTAGTAGTAGTGGTAGTGGTAGTGGTAGTAGTAGTAGTAGCAGCAGCAGCAGTAGTAGTAGTAGTACTAGTACTAGTACTAGTACTAGTAGTAGTAGTAGTAGTAGTAGTAGTAGTAGTGGTAGTGGTAGTGGTAGTGGTAGTCGTAGTGGTAGCAGTAGCAGCAGCAGCAGCAGGAGGAGGAGGAGTAGTGGTAGTGGTAGTGGTAGTGGTAGTGGTAGTGGTAGTGGTAGTGGTAGTGGTAGTGGTAG